TCACCACAACAGCCAGAAAAGGGGATGATAGAAGAGCGTATGGAGGGAAGGCTCCCCAGCCCATCCCCCTTCTGGCCCGTCCTTCTGGCCCTTGCCACCCACCTTGCTTATTGCTCTCCACAACCCCTAGCAGGAAATGAAAAGGGTACAGGAAATTGCACTTTAAATCCCCTAGCTCCTGGCTCCCTCCACCAAGCCAGGGAGCTGGGGGCAGGCTAACTTCACAGACCAGGCTTTCTCTGTTTGTAATTAGTAAGACACTCAGGAGCGGGGGGCGGGTCCCTGCAAAGAGAGCCTCTTTCTCCAAAACAGCTAATCAGGTTCTCCAAAAAAGTGATGCTGGGGAAAGCATATGGGGTTTGGAGAGAAGGAAGAACCAGAGGATCCTGGGCAAGATAAAGACGGCCCGTGAGACGTGGACTGGATAGGTAGGTGGTAGCCTCATTTCTGAGAGAGGTGATTTATAGCGCCACCTGTAGCCAGGAGAAATGGTGTGCAGCCAAAGGTGGGGATGGGCAGGGAGCCTTCGGAGGGTAGCCTGCGGTGGGGAGCCTCCAGAGACGCCCTGCAGAGAGGACCAGGGAGCAAAACCCACCAGGTCCATCCCACCCCTGTGGACACTTAGGAGGTTAATAAAGTTCAGAATGTTCAGGGCTTACGTGTAATTAAAGCCAGGAGCTGGGTCATTCCATTTCTTCAAGTTCCACCCTTTGCCTTCCCCTCCCCGACAGACATGCATCTTTTACAAAAGACACTGAACCAGATCCTGGACTTTAGATAATACCTCCACTAAAGGGGTGGGCTTACTGTCAGCAAAAGAAATGTAGAATAGACTTTAGAAAGGATTTCCTTAGAGTTAGGGTGGGTAAATTCTAGAGCAAATGAAATGATATAGAATCTTCAATAACACATTTCCTGACACACATACACACACACACACCCCAAACAAGAAAAGGAAGGCCCTCCCTAGACTGCTATTCTTTTTCTGGGGGATTGGCTTCCAGGTGATGTGTCCCACATCATGGGGAAAACAGTCTCTCTAAACATTAGGAAAATAACTCCCATCCCACCCTTCTCTCCAGGAGGAAGATGATTGTTTCCCTCCCCAGAGCTTGGCAAAGGCCCTGCTCAGGGATCGCACAGCCTGTGGGTAAGAGCCCTGCACACGGCCTGGTGGCTTCTCCCCTAAGTCCTCCCTCTGCTGTTTTACCTTAACCGTTCTGCACCTCAGGGTCCATTCTTTGGACCCAGTCTATGAACCCAGTCCTGGAGAGAGGGAAGAAGTGCAAAGGCAGGAGAGGACAGGGTCCTGCTCTCTGGGATGTGATAAGGAAGGCACAGAAGACAAGAAACCGAAGCGGAGAAAAAAAATGTGGCATAAAGACAGGAGAGTGTAAGCAGACCCTTTTAATGCTGAAACATAGGCAAAGGAGAGTGAAAGTATGAAGCAAGATCAGAGGGAAGCAAATGCCGCCAGCTTGGAGAGAGTGCAGAGGGGTTGGGAGGAGGAAGGCCGAAGTCCTTAGCAGGTATGAAGAGAATAAGCTGGGAAGATATCAAAGAGGAGGAGGATTTTTAAAGCCTAATAAACTTAGACTCAACTGTACACATTTCTTTTTGCATAAATCTCATTTTATTCTCAATAACAAGCCACAGGAGCAAGTATTAGTGTTGTCATTTTATAGATAATAAAATTAAGACACAGAGAGGTTAAGTAACTTGCCTCAGGTCACAGAGCTGGTAAGTAGCCAGGAATCAAGTTGCTGCATTCTGATGCCAACTCCTGTAGGTTCTGCCCTGGGAAGCAGCCAGTTTCAGGGCCTGATTGCCTAGGGAGACATTAACCCCTATCTCCCCTACCCAAAGCAAAAGACCTGCTTCCTCATGCCCTTTTGGGCCTGTTCTGCTCAGGAGATCTCGATCAAGCTGGTTATCTCGTGTAGGCCTCATCTGTGAAATGGGGAAGTACTATTGAACCCTTTGAAGGCGAGAGTCTAGACTAGATAATTTATTGAAGATTTTTTAGCTTTAAAATGAATAATTCAATCCATGAAAGGAGTGAATAAAGGAGACAGCCAGGAAAGAGGCCTCAAGCTTTCCATCCTCCCATTACCCATCCCCCCCCCCCACCTACAGCTCCTCTCTCTCTATTTGGGAACCTCCGGAGGCCTCTTCCCCACATTTCATAGCCTGAGCAGCTGTCTCCACCTAGCCATGGTTCACTAGCCCATGAAATCCAGACTCATTCATCCTCACACCCGCGAGGACATATCAGAGCCCAGGAAGTCAGCCTGGCTTCCTAGCATCTTGCCTACCCAGCCCAGGGTCACCATAGAGCTACAACAGTGCGATATTTTACGTTGCTGTCCGATACCTCTATCACCACTGCCACCCTATCACAGGTGTCTTAAGGACACCTCCGCCCAGGCTCTCTGCTGCAGCCCAGCAAACCTGTCCCCCAAAGCCCTGCTTCCTCCACCCCTCTGCCTCCTCAATACACATTCCCCAACACACACACACACACACACACACACACACACACACACACGCACGCACCTATGCATTCCTTCCCCATCTGCCTCTGAGGTTCACATTGGCAACCCCTTACCCTAAGATAGTGTACTTCTTAGGGTACACTTAGAGGCGGGTGGATCACGAGGTCAAGAGATCGAGACCATCCTGGTCAACATGGTGAAACCCCGTCTCTACTAAAAATACAAAAAATTAGCTGGGCATGGTGGTGCGTGCCTGTAATCCCAGCTACTCAGGAGGCTGAGGCAGGAGAATTGCCTGAACCCAGGAGGCGGAGGTTGCGGTGAGCCGAGATCGCGCCATTGCACTCCAGCCTGGGTAACATGAGTGAAACTCTGTCTCAAAAAAAAAAAAAAAAGAGGTAATCTAACCTGCTAACGCCATCCTACTTCTCAGCTTTCTAGGACTGGGGCCAGAAAGTCACTGAGCTCTAACTTGCTAGTCTTCTTCTTTCTGTTTTGCTGCTCCCTGCTAACCAAATGAATACTATTCTCCCCATCCTCTAGGAGCCCTCCTAGAATTCCTTCAGATCTCCCTCCATCCTTTCTTATTTGGTCATTCCCAGTTTCCCCAGTGCCAGAGCCACAGGGCTTGGTCCAGTTGCTCCTGACCAACTCAACTCATAAGCCTTTGTGGAGTGCGTGCTCAGAGCTCCATGCCTCTTGGTTGATCTTGAGGACCACCCTCATCTTATCATTAGCCTAGGAGCTCCCGCAGGGCAGAACCTGTGCTCTCCCTCTGGATCCTCCCTCGGTACCCAGCACCATGGGCAGCACGCACAGGGGAAAGTGTGCAACTCACCAATTCTGCTCCTTACGAGTCAGGGGGGAACTAGGGAAATAAACTCAAGCAGGGATAGAATTCCAGGCCCACACTTTTCACCTTTCCTTTAGAAACCTCAAAGGACGTGTGTGTGTGTGTGTGTGTGTGTGTGTGTGTGTGTGTGTGTGTGTGATATGTATAGAGGAGAGAGGAGTATGACAGTATGAGGTTCTAGGAGTCTGGTTCCTGCCTTGATGCAGGAGTCCTGGGGCAGCTGGACTCCCAAATCCACTGCAGCCGCCAAGAGGACACAGCCCTGTGACGCTGCAGCCCTGAGAGAGCAGCCATGCTGCCGAGGCAGGACTCATGCAGGTGGGAGACCCTGTAGGTTTGAATTTGCTGAGTCCAGTGTGCCAATCCACATGGCTTCCTTTGTTCTGTGGTTCAGTCCAATCCCGGTCCTCCCCCTTGTACCCACTCAGCAGTACTTCCTGCAATCAGAGCCTACCGCATGTACTAGGTTGAACCCTTTGGAATTTCTGACATTCAGTTGTTTGGGGCCTATGAAATCTGTAACTGTGGTTCTTCTCTCCTCAAAACATTTAAAGAAAACTCCAGGGTAGTGAGAGGAGCAGATTGCGGCAAGGCAGAAGGGAAGAGCTAATATTGACTGAGTATGTCCCATGTACCAAGCATGTTACATTATCACAGTGCTAATTCTCACAACATGAAGCCCCTAAAATGATTTCCCACATTTTACAGCTGAGCAAGCTCAGGTTAAGAGGCTACATGCTGAGGCCCAGGAATGGGATTCAAACTCAGCCACAGCCCCAGAGCCACCTACAACCAGGTACAACCAGGGAACTCCTGGCAGAGACAGGTGGTGGGTGGTGTTGGGTGTGGGGAGGGGGCAGCAAGCAGTGTCTACAGCTTCGCAAAAAGAGAGAGAAAGAAACAAGACAAGCTCGACTTTGCCGGCTGGGTCGGTCCAGAAGAGCCCCAATTAGTAGGGTGCAAGAGCAATGCTCAGGGTCGCACCTGAAACCCAAAGGTAGAAGGCCCAAAGGAAGAACCCAGGCAGGAAGAGACACAGGACGGGTAGGGGCCTGGAAGGCAGCGGCGGGCAGAGAGGAGCCCGGCTGCAGAGTCTACCACGCTCGGCATCCGAGGCAGGCGGCACCGGGCGGAGAAAGTCCAGGAGAAAGTATGACAACCGTGGGAAGCGGGGGGGGGAGGGAGAGACCCTGTGGAAGAGAGACGGAGACTGCGGCAAAAAGTGGAAAGGAGGGTTACAGGCACCGAGGGGGAGCTGGAGTCAGCCGCAAGGAGAGGGAGCGGGGGAGGAAAAGAGGCGGGAGAGAGACCCTAAAAAGCAAGCTAGACGCTCCAGCCGGCCGCTCTGGTGTGGGGAGCGAGCTTCATCTCAAGGACACTGAAAAAGGCAGATGGATGGTGCAGAAATGCGGGCGCCGCGGCCCCGGACGGGCGGGCACCGGCCCGCTGCCCTCGCCCCTGGACGCGCCGGCTCCGCACCCTGCAGGCCTGGAGCGCACCCCCACCCCAACCCCACTCCCGGCCCCAGCCCGTGCTCGGCGCTGGCATGAAATTGGCTGCAGCCGTAATGAGTCCGCGCCGCGCGGAGGAGGCTGAGGGCCCGCCAGGGAGCCCTGCGCGCCTCGTTTAGCTTGTTTATTGTTCAGGCCTAATTAAAACGTTCCACCGCGCTGCGTTTACATCCGCCCCCCGCTAATGAATTCTCGGCCGCCGGGCGATTTCGGAAACTGCCGCGGGCCGGAAGGGGGGTGGGAGGCGACCGGGCTGGGGAAGGAGTGAAGGAGAGGACACCCACGCACACCCCCTTCCATGGCCAAAGGAGCCATTAGGTATCTGGCTATTGGCTCCGAGGTCCGAATGAGCGCCCCCAGCCCCAGCGCCCCCAACTCCTGCAGGCGCTGGGAGATGCGGAAGGCCGCGCAGCAGGGCTCAGAGGAGGGGCGGCGGGAGGGAGGTCAGCAGCGAGTGTATGTGTGTCCTGTGCGTGCGGAGGCCTGTGGGCCAGGAGGGTATTGCGAGTGGGCGCACCTGCTCCGTGAAGCGTGTCCGCGGAGCAGCCTGTGTGCCCCGGCGGGGGTGTGTGTGTGTGTGTGTGTCCCCGTCCGTCCGTCTGTCCCCCGCAGGGGGAGTCTGCGCGGGGCGTACAATGTTCTTGTTTCTCCCACCATAGCTGTTTGCCGTTTTGCTGTTTTCCTCCTTGTCACGACCTCAGCGAGGGCAGATGGAGCCAGTGGAGGGAGAGAGACAGACGGCAATGCTTGGGTAGCCAGAGCTCCCTACCGGCCCCACTCTTCCTGCAGACACAAGCACACACACACACACACACACACACACACACGCAAAACACACACGCTGCCCTTCGCCGCACGAAGCCAAATAAAATACACAAAAAGCAACTGAGCTACCATCGCACATGACCACATGGAAACACACAAATGAACAAACGCACTCAGGCAGAGTCACATGCCAATCACACACAGATGGGAAGACAAGGGCCTGGGGCGCAAAGCCACATGGCACAAAGCCACCTGGATGTACATGCCCTACACACGAACACAGAAAACACATGCACACTTGAGTACACACCTACCCAGACAAGTGTGCGCACACACACTCACAGTCTACCTGACACATGTCAGTGCATCCTCAGTGGGCCCCAGTTTCTCTCATAGCAATTCAGATCACGCAGCCTGCCATCAAAACCTGCCCCCTTCCATTCCCCTTTGGGCTGGTTCCTGAATCCAGCTCGTCACTCCAGGCCAGCAAAGCTGTCCCCAGCCTTACTTATGGTTTGCTTACCTGCCTCAGCACCATTAGCCAGAGGCACTCCTGCTCTTCTCCTAATCTAGTCCATGCCCTGTTGGGTTTCTCTTTCCACGCCCCTCCTCCCAGCGGCCTTCCCTGATGAACTAACTGGCTTGGATTCTGAATTTGCCCTAGTCATTTGCACTTGTTGATCTCTGCTGTGGTGAATGTCAGAGAGGTAACTTTGCACCTGTAAACATAATGTTGGCAGGGAGGACTGTAAGATCCCCAAGGGCAGGACCACTGTGACCAAATATTTCCATCGGATGCCAGGCCTCATCCCTCCAGTGCGAGGCTGCAAACGCTCCTGGGAACACGACTGCCCAGTTTTGACAGACGCAAAAATGAAATTGGCCCTCAAGCTGCCACTAGAAGATCTCCTTCTGTCATATCCTGCAAGGTTCCCCTTCAGGGTGGCCTTTCAGAGGCACTTTGGGGGAGGGCACACCTCCTCTGTGTCTTCCCATTTCCACCTTCCTTTTAACTGGAAATACTGCTCCCCAGCTGGGGAATCACCTGATTCTCCAGCCTTGATTCCTAACACTTAGCTGTTTTCAGAAATTAGATCTACCCCTAAAGGATACAAATTTGCCTCGGGTGCAGTTGCTCAGAGCTGTACTGCAAGCTCTAAAGGTGATCCCCAAAGAGAAATTGCAGGAATGACCCAGGCAACTGCAGCAGCGGCTGAACCCTGCTATGTTAACGAAGACGGCCTGCATCGAACACGTTCTTTGTACTTAAAGAAAATAACAAGGACATCCTAAAAAAAAAAAAGAAAGAAAGAAAAAGAAAAACTCATTGACCGACTGCCTCCCCAGCTCACTGCAGGGTTGTTTGATCAGGTAAACATGATGCTGGGTGGATTCCAGCCCAGCAGCTCTGGGTAGATAGGTGCCCTGCCTGCTTTCTCTCCCCGTCTCCCCTTAGTCCGCCTGCCTCTCAGGAGCCCCCTCTCTCCATGCCCCCTCACCTTCCTGCAGTTACAGGCACTGCTCCCTGTCCTTTATACACACCCCCACACACTTCTTGCCTCCATCTTATTTCTTGCCTCGCATTTCTTTCTCTGTCTTTCTCCGACTGTCCTCCGCCAATTTCTCTACTCCCTTTTTCAGTATTGCTTCCTCTCCCTCTGATCTCTGCTGGGGCTCTGCCGTTCTTTTTCTTTCTCAGTCTTTCTCTAACTTCCATCTTTCTCTTGTTCTCTCCCCCACACCCCACCATAACTGCTGCAAGTGGTCCATGCAGAGGGAGGGTGTGTGGCTGTCTGGTTCAGCACCAGGCAACTCCGGCATTTTGAAGAGCTTGGGATTGCGGTGTTCCTGCTCACCCACATGCAACACACACGTATGGGCCTCCCCTCTCCCCTGAGTCCCAGGCCCTGGAAGGCCAGCGGAGCCCTCAACCCAGCATCCCCATCTCACCCTCTGCAACCTCTACCTGACCCTTCCTACTGCCTCCCCTCCCCACCCTCACTCTCATTTCCTCTCTCCTTGGAAACCCATCTTCTCCCTCCCTTTCTCTGCCTCCATCCGTCTACTGATACACTTCTGGTATATTCTCAGCCCTGGCCCTGGGTCAGTGTGTCTTTGGCAAGGGGTACATGGCTTTCAGTTTCTCCCTGGGCCTGGGTCCCTCTCTGTCAGTGTCTGTGGCTGACTCTGCTGTGGTTGGTTTCTGGATGGCTCTGTCCCTGTGTGAATCTCCAATCTTTCCGTCTGCTCTCTGGATGCTCCTGTGTATCTCCGGTCTCTAGCTCTGCCTCTCCTCTGTCTTTCCCTTTCCACGCGGCAGTGTCTCTGCTCACTTTGTCTCTCTTCATCTCCAGAGTGCTGGGACCCAATCTGCCTCATTGGTCCCACTCTGTTCACCTTGGTTTGAATTTACTGGGTCTTTCTGTCCCTGTCTGTGTGTCCATCTCCCCACTTCTCTGCCTCTTCGCCTGCTCCGCAGTGATGGGAATGGAGTGGGGGGGGGGGCTGGCGCGGAGGGCTTGGAGAGGGAAGGGGGCGGGCGGCCCTTTGTGTGGAAGATTGACGGCCGCGCGGTGCAGCCTCCGCAGCGCTGATTAGGATGCAGCTCGGGCTCCGACTGCAGCATTCTCCTCCTCACCGAACATTCTCCACACTCCAAATTGAGGTCCCCTCCCTGCCTGCTTCCCTGGCCTCTCAGGATAATATGGCTTACCCCTGCCCCCAACCCAGTTCCCCTGCTGGGAGCCACCGGAAATTCTGGGAGGGCACCCAAGGGCCCCCTCTCCCACCCAGTTACCTCCATGTCTTGTACATTCTGAGAGAAGGAATGAGCAGAGGTGGGAAGCCGACTGGAGAAGCTTCACTGGAAGGGGGCGTGGGAAGGTGAGAAACTGCTGGGGGGCGTTGTGTCCGCATTCCCAGCCCAGCAGCACCTTGACCCCTCAGCCGCACACGCAGCAACAAGTGCAGGGAGGAGATGTGCAGGTGTCAACACACAGGAAGGGGCAGGAAATACGTGGCGTGCCTCTTTTATCCCCTCGTAACACCTATAGACCTGCCCTGTACATAGTAAGTCCTCAGTAAAATGGTCAGCCCCTGTTTTATCAGTTCTCCCAAAATCAGTGCCTACATCAGGGAACTCAATTCCTTTAAATATGCCTCCTGACCCATCCCAGCGGCAACTCAGTATCTGGCCCCTGGACAATATCCCGGCCACACCTTCCAAGCACCCCAGTGATCATGAGATCTCAGCTCCAAATCCCAGTCATTCCAGCCGAGGCTACTCCACCATCTGCCTTCTGTCCCTGCCCTTTCCTCTTCCTCTTCCTCTTCCTCTTCCTCTCCCTCCCTTGCCCACCCCTATGCAGCTTGGCCCACTGGGTTTCTCCCCCAAAGACAGGCAATCACTAATGAGCGTTGAGTGCAGGGAGGGGAGGGCCAAGGGCAGCCTGGTGGATGGGAGGGGATTCCAGAGCTAGCAAATAACGAGCCGTGTCAGCATCTGTCAAATATGCCATCTCCCTCCATCATCCCTGCCTCCTGCCTCCTGGCTCCTGCCAATTCATCTCCCTGCCGACACTGACGGACTGCGCTCAGGTGCAACTGCCAAGAAGCCCAGACGCACAATGCCTGGTCTGCTCCACGAATGTCACCAGGCCCTGATTTTAAAACAGCCACCCTAGGAATACAGGGTTGTAGATGAAACCCAAAGAGGAAGAAGAGAAATTGCCCTCTGTTCAATTTCAGCCCCCTGTGCCAAAACCAGAAGTTAAAACTCCAGGCAAAGGTGGAGAGTGTTAAATCTCCGGAAGACCTTCCCTGCTTTGAAGAGGCTGTCCATGCCTCCAACACTAGGGAAACTGATGGGGGAAAGCTGCGGTTAGAAACCCAAGATCGCTACTTGTAATATAAGTAATTTCCACCAGGGGGCGAGGAACGCGGCTCTGCGGAGGAGCAGAATCTTTTCAACAGCGACCTGCGAAGGGCTCAGCGGCCACAGGAGGGCGGCAGAGAACAGAGCTCCCTACAGATCCAGACGTGGGCCCTGGATGCTGTCTGGAATCCACGCAAGGCCAAACTGGGCTGCCCCAGGCTGGGGGCATCTTCAGTTCGAGCAAGAGCCCATGAATTTCTGAACTCAGGAATCCTTGCATCCCTTCTCAAGCTCTCTAGTCCCTGAAATGCCATCACCCTCCCCAGCCTCCCTTCAATTTCTCATTCTCCTAGCGCTGGGGCTGCTGGCACAGAAGGAGCCTGTAGCTTTTCCTTCCTGGTAGAGCAGATGACAGCCACTCTCCTCCGTGACATTCCCTAGGGTCCCAGCTGATAACTGGAGCCAGAACTAGAACCCATGACTTCTTGGTTCTCAGCACAGGGGTTTTCCCATTCTGTCAGCTGCAGCTCCTGAAATAAAGCCATGCCCAACAGGCCACAACCAGACATCATCTCAAATCCGTGGCTTAAACAATCCATGCCAAAGCTACACTGTTCCGCACGTTTACGTGTGTAACTGGTGCACACAAGACTGTTAACCCCGGACACAGATGTGTGCTGAAGCCGCCTGGCTGTGCACCCCTCATCCTCAGGTACTTGGCCCTCTGTCCCTTCTCTTCCTACTTTCTGAACTGCAAAAGAAGCTTCTCTTCTTTATAATTTGGGCTTTTCATGGTAGTTCCAGAAGCTCCTCAAAGCTGTAGACACAGAAGCCTTTTCCCAGCTCTAGCCTTGGTCCATCCTACCACAGCCCGTTACAGCTGGAGGACAGGCCTGGACATGACCCTCAGCCCTCTCTTCCCAGGCATCCCCTCACCTGGTCCCTTCACTGCTTCTCACCTCTCCCGTCCCTCTGCTGACCAACCTATGCCTCCTCCAGATTCTTGCTGCCACTGGTTCTCCTTTCATCTCAAAAACTGAGCCACCCAGGGAGGTGGGCACAGGAAAGAGAAAGGAAGAAAGGTAGGCAGGATTGGGAAGAAAATCTGCCAGAAGAGGACTCTGCCCCTGCCCACTTTACTCTCAGCTGGTAAGTTCTACTTTGAGTCTGACCTTAGTCCTCTGGCTAGTCCTCACTTTATCTACTCTCCTTGAAGCTCAAGAGCTAGAGGAGCTGAAAGTAAATGATGAGAAATGGAACCGATTGTGTCGGAGGTATATGCGCAAGCTTGTGGGCTGACGGGCTGAGTGAGTGTATACACTCGCGTCACACACCACCCCTTCCCATTCGCCCCCGACACACGTGCTCCATGCCATCCCCAATCTAGGATTCC